TAGTTTTCAAATGTCTAGCAAATAACAATTACCTAGCCCCCTTACATTTGAGAAATTAGTTAAAACACCACAATCACAAAAGGTTTAAAAGTTAACAAAATACTTCCAACAATCTAACACCACCATCAGCCTTGACTCACCACCACCAGCCAGTCGTCAGCGTCAGTCGCCATAATAGTGTGCGATCGGGGGGATCTGGTCGATTGTGTGTTGATAAGACCTTTTCTAGACTCATGGTTGAAAACGATCAGATTTGACGTTTCTATGACTATTGTGGTTGTGAAAATGTTAGATCTTTGGCCGTGAAATGGTTATAGATCTGGTATTTTTCGATCATCGATAATATTTTCTAAATATTTCTATTTCTTAGTAATTTTGAAGATAATTTTTTTTTGTTAATATAATATATCTTTGTAATAAAATATTATATAATTCAACATGTTTAGGGCGAGAACGAGAATAAATACGAATAGGGATACCAAATTAAGTTTCCCTAAGCCTCAGGGAATGTGTCGGCTGCTCTTCAGAGATATTTTGTTTTAAAAACATAAATAATTCTCTTGGAGAGAAAGAGAATGACGTCATGCATGACGAGGTGGTAAAATATCGACCTAGGGAACCACAATGAAATAAACCAAAACAAACTGCCTTTTAGCTTAGCTCAATAGCTCATCTCTCAATGCCTTCCACGTGATTTTAACTTTTCTTCACCTCTTGACTCGCTGTCTATCGTTTTCCCTCTTTGACCTTTCCAATTTCTGTCCTCAGTCCTCACTTTAATTAAAGTCTTTTATCTAATCTCAATACTTTAGTGTCATTTCTTCAAATAGAAACTTATTTTCTTTTAACATAATCATGATTGTTATTATTTTCTAACCTTGGATTTGTCTTATACTGTCATGGTTTCACATTTATTGTAAACTTTGAACTGAAATCGAAAGGATATTTTAATTGTGTTTTAACTTTTAGTATTTCAAAATGTGATGAAAATGAAATGGGGAAGTGGGTTTCTTATCTTTCACCGATTCAATCCTATACAAATTTTATAATTATGAAGAGTAAACGACATGTTTCCACTCAAGGTTAAGCGAAATATCAAGTTTGAACCTTAGCTTTATAAATTTCATATTTATACCTTTAAATTAGTAAAAAATTATTTAATATAATGGTTAAAAGGTAAAATGATAATTTTAAAACCCAGATCTCATTCGACTGGAATTACATTTAGTAACCCAAACCCACCTGTTTAACTGTCATCTTAGGCCAATTCGACATGATTTCGATGTCGTCGGTGTAACGTCCACTTGTATATAAAGAAAAATTAGTTATGGGTCCATTATTTTATACTCATTTACATGTATATTTTCTTATATACATTTAGTAAGTTTTACTGTTTATTTTCCGAGTATACTAGTTAGAGAGAAAGTATTACAGTTAGACACACTCGACACCACCAAATGCTTTCCACTAACCCACATCCCAAAACCCCTTTCAACCCGCCTAATAACACCCTTCAATCGCCAACCACCACTCATCAAGGATACACGCGCTTCAAGCCGATTTTCAATTGATTTCAACACCAAAAATCAACCCTAACACCACCATTCAACTCAAAAACTTCCACTCACCAAAACCCCTATCATCCCCACTCTCGCCTGTTGGGTCGCGGGTGCAGGGGAGCTGGCATGTAGGGTGCGTGTGCAGAGGAAAAGGCGAGCAGGTTGATGGGGGCACTTCTTTGAACACCTGATGAGCGTCGAGGGGTGGGGGCTATGGAAATGAGATGGGAATGGCGGAAAACTAGAAAAAACCCAATCAAACCAACACTTCACTAACAACACACAAGCAAACTTAAAAACTCCCGCAAAGATTCATTAAACATGATACTTTAAAGGAAAGAATTTGAAATTTACAGAGTGGAAACTTGACATTTCGCTTAACCTTAAGGGGGCGTTTGGTTCAGGAATGTTAGATTACTGGGAATGTTGAATTACTGGAAAGATAGATTACCTTGAAAGATTACTGGGAATCTTTAGAAAAATATGTTTGGTTAGTTGGTGGGTATGTTATATTAATATGTTTGGTTATGGGGAATAAATTAGTGGGTATGCTATTTAAATTACTAAATTGTCCCCCTTTTAAATATTAATATAAAATTATTTTTATTATTCATTTTTGAATAATTTTTTCACCCCCAATATTTCAGATTTAGCTAAAACACCCCCGCTTATATAAAACTTTAATTTATGACGAAATCACCCCCACCTCTTGCCGCCACCGCGAACCATCGTCGGATGTCCCCGTGAGTACGTCACCGTGAGGAAGAGGCTTCGCTATGGCCGTTTTCGGCCATCAATATGGCCGAAAACGGCCATAGCGGAGCCTCCCGCAGAATTTCCAGTGTTTTTAGGGACTCCGGCAATTTTCCGGCGGTGGTTCGTGGTGGTTGACCCGCTGTCGGCGGTGGTGGCTGGGTGGCTGTGGTGGTGGTGGCTTAGTGGCAGTGATGGTCTGTAAATTATTTTAAATATAAGGGCATTATTGTCCAAAATTTTAATTAAACAAGGGTAAAATTGAAATAGGATATTAATGTAAATTTGTTTTAAAGTAGGGGTATTATTGTCCAAAATTTTTATTAATAAGGGATAAAATTGTAACAAAAAAAGATAACTCTGGTAATCTCAGAAAACTTAAGAAAATGGAGGTAATCAGATTACCTCTTATATTATCAATAGTAACCACTATTGGTATTTGAAGATTACTGGTATCTTATATTACTTGACAACCAAACGGGTAAATCATAATAAATTACATTATCCCAATAATGTCATCTTATATTACTTGATTACCACGTTTGGTTGTCAAGTAAAACCAAACTTACTCTAAGTGGGCTCATGTCGTTTGCTCAATTATATTATAAAAGTGAAAAGAAATAGTAAGTGCCGGCTAGCGATCAGCAAGTCACGAGAATGTTATATAGACATAAGATTGTCGGAATTGGGTTACTAATTGAGGTATGCGCTCTAATTGTTTGATCTTGCCAACAGATTTACTCTACTAAACACGGCAAAAAAAGGATTTCTTGTCTTCCCATATCATGAGTACCCTTTTATATTTATTAACCCTAATTGGTAGCCAGCTCAGCAAAAAGTTGAGAAAAGATATTTTGATAATAGGACACTAACTAACCCACCCTCCTATTTCATATGCTTCCTTCCCTTCCCCTTCCCCATCCCCTGTACCAAAAATTCAGTTATTTTCAGGAAGCAAATACAACTATACAAACACAAACTCTTCTTCTTATCTCTACTTTTCAACTCTAAATTCGGTTTGGGTTTTAGAAAATTTAAGATGGTGAGTCCTAAAGGCGAGACTACCACAAAAAAAAAGAAACTACCTGCGATTTCTGTAGTGACCAGATTGCGGTTCTTTACTGTAGAGCTGACTCCGCTATGCTCTGTTTGTTCTGCGACCAACAAGTGCACTCCGCAAACCTACTGTCAAAGAAACCCCTCCGCTCACAGATCTGCGATAACTGCAGTAACGAACCGTTTCTGTCCGGTGCGCCACTGACAAGTTGGTCCTGTGTCAAGAGTGTGACTGCGATGCGCACGGGAGCTGCTCTGTGTCCGATTCGGATTCACACGATCGTGTCCCAGTTGAAGGCTTCTCGGTGTCCCTCAGCTCTAGACTCGCGTCAAGTGGGGCTTCGGTCTTGATGATAAAAAACTGAATGAATCTTCGCCGTTGATTGACTACTGAGCGGTGTCAAGATATGAGGAGTCCGGTTGAGTCTTCGTGGATGGACGACAACAAATCAGGAGTAAGTGTTCAAGATTCGATGGTGCCAAATGATAAAGGTATGTTTTATAATGGAGAGATTATAGTATGTCGAAAAGGCAAAGTCCAGTTGTGGAAAACTTAAACAAGTGATACATAAACAACTGGTTCAGTTGTTAAAGAGTGATTTAATGGGAACGAAGTTGGTGTTTTATAATGATGTAGTAAAGAGTTTGTGTGGGAGGAGATGCGAAATTTGTGTCCAATGAAAGGAATGACGGAGGCCAAGTTAATAGTTGTGTTCAAGATCGTTGCAGCAACAGACGCCTTTGCTCTCTACTTGTGATGCAGGAACAGATGGATGCCAAAGAGAGTGACCGTGTGTTAACAGGGATTGTTGTGGATGGAAATTCTGGTGGGTCGGCTCAGTGTTGTTTTTGAACTCTTAAAAATTTTTAATGTTGCTTTGTTCTCTCAATTATATGTTTTGATTGGCTTCAAGCTTCAATAGAGATCTTAAGCAAGCGTGCTGTGTATGCGGACGTGTTTTCAATTGTTGAAACTGAAGTTGATGTAGTTTGTTCTTCTATGCGTTTTCTTTCGTTCCTCAATGTGTTGATTTGCCTTAAACCTTGTTGTTATGTTAATGATGTTGATTCTGGGGTAATTTTTGGCTTTCATTCTTTGGGTAATTACCTTCCCAAGGCCGCCGCTATCAATTTTCATCAGTCAATTATTAACTTGAATGTTAATCTATTATGGATTGTAATGGTGGGGTGAGAGATTTTGTGATTTAAATTAGAATATACAAGATGAGCCTGCTATTTCTCATGCCCCTGATTATTTCTCCTTGTTCTTAAGAAGGCATTTTAAAATTAAAGCAAGTTAACACCTTTCTAATTTTATTTCGATTAGCATGGGTTCTCAAATCTTTCTTAGAAAATGCATTTGCTAGGTCTTTTGTCCTTGTTCAACTGCCCTGATTTTAATTAGTTCACTTTATGTTGAGAGAAATAGCAGTAGTTGATTAATGGGAATCCATATAATCACACTTGCTACTCCCATGCAGATATGGGATTTTCATTCAGGACTTTGAGGGCCACTGAAGAATCTACCAGCTGGAAGTTGCATATGGTGGAAGTGATGCAGTATTTATGATAAAAAACTTTGGTGAACTTATGAAAGAAACACTTTGGCTAGTACAGAAGTTTGCAAATATGTTCCAGATGATTGTCCCATGGACATGAAGACATGGCTTCTTTTAATGTAAGTCTTGACTGTATTTCAGTTTGATTGTAATTGTTCATTCATTAAATTTCTGATTGTATGTATTGTGACCTTAGAGTTAGGTTGAGCAGCTTAGGTCCGTTTGTTTCCCTGTTTTACACTATCCTATTCCTATTTTTTCCAAATATACATTTGTTTCCTTATTCTGAAAATCCTATTTTATTTTATTTATATTTTTAAACCCCTAAGTTTGTTAATTTAACTAAACAAAAAAAAAAAAAAAAAAAAAAATTAGAAATTGACACCCTCACCCTCCCACATTTGCCAGATCGAAATCTGGTATAATAGCCCACTACCAACTGGATCTAGTCGGTAGTGAGCTGATTTAGCCTTTTCTGGTCAGATCTACCGTGGATCTGGTTGGAAAAGTCCAGATCTACGGCTGAAGATCTAGCCGTAGCTAGTTGTCAACGACGACCAAGATATGGCCGTCGTTGACCATCAACGATAGCCATATGTTTGGTCATCGTTGACCACCAAACACGGCCAAATCTGGCTGTCAACGATCAAATCTAGTCGTAGATCTGACTTTTTTTGGCCAGATCCACGGTGGATTTGGCTGGAAAAGGCCATATCGGCGCATGATTGGTTAGATCCAGCCGGTCGTGCGCCAATACAGCGACTCCAGCCATCCTCTGGCAGTGGTGGCCAGTTGCCAGTTTTAATGGGTGGGTGGGGTGTTTTTGTTAATTTTTAATATTTTATTACAGGGGTATTTAGAAAATTAACAAACCTAGGGGGGTATTTTTGTTAATTTTCAAATCTCACCTCGTAATAACAACCTACTCTAACTTTTTTTAAAATCCTATAAATCGTATCCAAAATAATAAAACAAACAAACCCTTAGTGTTGGGACATTGTGACTCGTTTTCCTATTTGTTCCCATGTGAAATTGTACGTCTTTAGGAAAACTATTTAATAAAGAATACAATTGTACATAGGAATATAATTTAGGAGTCTAATTAGAAATTGAAATATGAATCCTATTGGAATTAGAATATCGCATATCCTACCTATAAGTATAGGGGTGAGAACTAATTCAAGGTCATGAGAGAATGTGAGAACACAGGGTATTTGATGTAAGGGTTATTAAACACCTTGAGGAGAGTGTCTTAGAAACTGTGATTGTTTTTACTCTAGGTACTAAATTGAGCGTGGTTAGAAACTAGGATGTTTTCGCTTTGTTTTATGTATTGGATTTATAGTGTTGTGTACTCTTATATATTGTGTTCATGAAATTATAGTGAATTTATCTCATCTGTGGATGTAGGCGGGTTATGCCGAACCACATATATATTGTGTCTCTTTGTATAGCGTGATTTTATTTCTATGTTATTTATCTCAAAAGTATGTTTTCTGCTGCGTGATCTCTTACCACGGGATCATTTGTTTAACCAAGAGGTTAGGGATTCAAAATTTCAAATAGCCTGGGTGCTCTTGTCTCGAACTAGAGAGTTTGGGGTTTTGTAGGTATCTAAAATAGAAACAAAAATTTATGTGATACTGTACATAAAATACTTGTAGAAGATACACTGCATCGTCTTAACTGCAGCACTGGTACCGTAGTAATCTCCTTTATAAATTATGGAATTCGTAATAGTAATGGCATGACTGCTTCAAAATAACATATAAAATCCACCTAGCGATTCTTTCTGTTTGTTAACACTCCATGCTTTGAAACTATGTAAAGAAGTAGAAAATGGCTGGTCAAAGTTCCTTTTTTGGATGGCCAGATAAAAATTTGTATAGGATAAGAAAACTTATTTATGCCCAGAATAACTGTTTCTTGCATGTTCAAGTGATGGACGATCGTTTCCTACATATTCAAATATTTAGACATAAATGAAATAGACAGAATATGATCTGGTAGTTTTATTGGTAGAAAAGCTCTTAAATATGGAGCTAATTAAACCTGATAATTTGCTTTTTCACGTAATTTACATCTATCTTGCGTGTAATGTTGACAGCCTTTGGCTCTTTCTAATAATAGGGCATCTTGTACTAATATTTTGTAATCCAGAACTCAAATAATCCAACAGCCAGTCAGGGGCCTGCAACATCTGAGAGCAACAACCTGCCGATAGCAAAGCCATCATCAGGTTCAGCTTTTGGTAAACCCAAGGACTCTAGTAGCTCTAAAGATAACCAGTTCATGGAACAGTCTTTTCTTGTGAGACATGATGGAGTGACGACAGCTGCAGCAACCAAAGCTGATCTGGAGCTGCTGGCACAAAATAGAGGCAATGCGATGCAACGTTACAAGGAGAAGAAGAAAACACGGAGGTAGGTTCTTTCCTTATCATTATTTAAGATTTTGCTTTAGACTTTATCCAGATTATTTGATATCTAGATACGAGAAGCACATACGGTACGAATCAAGGAAGGCAAGAGCTGATACCAGGAAGCGAGTGAAAGGTCGATTTGTGAAGACTATTGAAGCTCCTGATGGTTGAATCTTGTGCTGGGATAAACTGCTCGTTGTGTCAGACACGTACTCGTGCGAGTGTAACAAAAGTGTTTTGCTTGAAATAATGCAGTAGAGTTGACAAATGCCGGGGACGAAGGGGGGACTAGTAATAGGTTGGTAGTTGTCGATGCTTTGGTAATGTAGGATGAATACTTGTCTCAGTCGTGTTCTGCTACAAGCTAACGGTGTTAGAATTTAGAAATCTGTTAATAGCCAGTAGAGAACAGAAAATGATGCTGCTTTCGCCCTTGTACAAAAATTGAATGAGGGTTTTTTGGGTGAAGGTACTCGTAATTATCATAACTAGTCATTTTATTTCTCTTTGAAAAGCTTCTGGCAGGTAAACGCTATGGATTTATGTAAATTACACTCTAAGCTGTGTATTGGCCTGAAATTAAACTTCAATGGATAATGATGCCACTATTGATGAATAACACCTTTATATACTTACACATCCATTCGGCTAAGCAAGTATATTATTCAATTTTTTATTTTTTAAAATAATATCAACTTCCGATAAAATTTTCTTAAATGTATTTTCTAACCGTTTAACTATTAATATATTACCTTTTTACTTATATTAGAAGTAAAAAAAAAAAAAAAAAGATAATTAAAAAAATCGGTCTTTATAATAGTTTTAGCTGGAAAATGGAATAGTAACACTCTTCTTAAAACTATTGTCTTATATAATTTAATTTATACAACAGTATCCAAGTTCAATATCTTATCTTTTACTCCTATACATACCATTAGTAAATAAGTTACTTTTTTCAAACGAAGGTTTTTTGGTAGTTCAATTCATTATATTAATAACTTAAAGAGATTGGTTTAACAGTTAAGAAAGTTTCTTCGTTTTATTGACTGTTTGAGTTCAAACCATTTTGACGCGTATAAGTTAATCTAAACACCCCATCATAGATAAAAAAAAAAAAATCATTATATTAATAGTGAAATGGTGAAATTTGTTGTTGAGCTCTTCAATAGTATGATTATCTTAAGCGTTTGTTATCTTGTCTGCTTGCTTGCGAAAAAGTGGACAGTCTTTCTGCTTGGAAAAACACTTGGTTGACCCAAAAGATAATCTAGAATCCTGAGATCCAAATCCCGCTGATCCATGCGACTGGTTTCACGTATCAATCATGCGACCTTGACAGCAGTCACAAGGCTGTATGTATTTTCCACCTTTACTTAATTTATATAAGATCACACAGTTCCGGTTTTGAGGAACTATCTTTAGGAATACAATTTGGTAATTGAACTAATCCATACAAACACCGTTTTCTAACTTGAAAATTAGGAATCAATATGCATAGTGAAGGTGTTATGCCTAAAAAGTCAGCGCTGATATGGACTCTCGTCAGCAAGGGCCAATCAAAATTCAAGGAGGCTTTGTGCCGTCTAGACGCTGCCACGTCGCGCAATGACGGAAAAGGTATGGTTCTTGTTAGTACAGCAGGTGAATGCCAGACTTGCGAGTGGCTAGGAATCGTCCATCTGCCCAAGCCCTACGCAATTTAAGGATGTCTCTCTTACAGACAACCAATGAGAAGCGGGTTAGGAATTGTACCTCACTAGTTAGACTGCAAACTCATGATTATTACCTTGAATCCTCCAACTATAAATAGAGGGCTCCTCTCTCATTTACGAGATTAGCTCATCTTTAGTCTCAAACAACATACATTCTCTCTTTCTCTCTCTATATTCTCTCTAGATTGTAATTTAACTCATTGCACGTGACCTGACTGTAACCATCTATTAATATAACTACAATGGACGTAAGATTAGCTTTTGAGCATCTAAACTACTTTAAAAATCATTTTTTTATTTATTATCTCGCTACATATTTTCATATCACGTGTAACTTTTAAGCCCACTTAGCACTTTGCATGTGTGAGCCATTGGTGTCAAAATCAAGTGTCAATAGTTTGACGCTAGAAGAAGGGCACTGATTTAGTATCTACTCTTCATCAGAAACCTCTGACCAATCGGTCTTACCCATCAGCAAATGGCTTGCGGTTTCAAAATTGAGCGAACCAACCTTAACAATGAGGAAATCCCCCGGGTATAGGATGACACTTCTCTCGAAGTGCCGCTAGTCCAACATAGTATCATAGCAGATATTCCTTCAAGCTCACGACTCGACCCAACCGTGATGAGTTACCTGAAAATGTTCAATAATACTCTCCAAACGGTTAGCCAAAGACTAAAGGTTAGACTATTTGGATCGAGTCGTACCACTAGAGTCCAATGAAGTGGTGCCACCGCCAAAGACTCCTGTAGGTCACACAAAAGCGCGAAAAATGGCAAAAGTCCGTACCATGCGCACTGCAACACACAAAAGTAAGGGAAAGCAAGTGGCGATCAGTAGACCGAAGGGCTCCAAGAGACCAACAAACACCAGTTGTGCAACGGGTAGAATACCCATGGCATTGCGACTCAGCGACATGTCGCAGCATAATCCGTCCCACGCCAAGTCGCATGGGCACTCCCACAAAACTGCAAGGTAGGGAGATTCCCAATATTGTCGAAATGATGACCTCGACCATCATCATGCAGGAAACCGTTGTCGTCTGTGGGTCAATTTTGACCACCGCGGAGATCGAGAAAACTCTCCAACCCATTCAATGCCTTCACATGACCCCAACCAACATATGTCAAGGTTCGTCGGAGCTTCCAACTGAGTTGAGGAAGAGCTCAATTTACGGTCTTTCCTCAACCACAACCACAACCACAACCACAACCACAACCACAACCACAACCGTGAGAGTCGAACCCATATTGCAGAAAGTGATCTCCAGGCAACTCCGTTACCTTAGATTGAGGAACTACATCGAGCTTTGGATCAACTTAAGGCTCAGCAGAATGAGCGTGGGAAGGTCACAGAGGCGTTTCCCTTTTCTTCAGCAGTTTTAGCTTCTCCTATCCCATCGAGATTCAAAATGCCCAACATGCAGGTAATCGATGGGAATTCAGATCTGCAGGATCACCTTTATGAGTTCAACGACCTCATGGAACTCCACCAAGACTCTGACTTGGCCAAATGTCGCTGCTTAGTAGTAACCTTGACTACCCATGCTAAGCGCTGGTTCAGATCGCTTCCCGCGGGATCAATCAGCTCGTTGCAACAAATGAGCTCATCATTCCTAAGACATTTCCAGGTGAACAGGAAGTTATTGATGCCGTTGAGCTATCTGAGCAACATACGGAAGGAGAGGAATGAATCCCTCCAATCTTACACAGACAGATTTCACAAGGAACTCCACAAAGTGGCTCATACTCCCGAAGAGTTCGTTCAGACTCTCATTATCGCAGGGGTTCACCCACAAACTAACTTGTGGAAGGAACTGCAATCCGAGGACGATGTTTCCCTCACTCGCTTCTACAACCTCACTGAAAAATATCTTTGAATAAAAAATTTCGTGGCTGCTCTTAATTGCCACAACCGTGGTCCCTCGACCAGTGCTCCCGATTGGGGGGAGAATAGTAAAAAGGTTGATCGCAGACTGGCTAATGATGATCAGCGAAAATGAAAGAAGTAGCGATTTGAGCCCAAAAAATCTTATGCCCTAATTCCTCGTCACGATCACGACAATAATCAATACACTCATTTGAATGCCTTAGTGTCGGCTATTCTGGATAAGTCAAAGGAGACCAGCCTGCTCAGAGAGCTAGAGCCCATGAAGAATCCCCCATTAGCTAGAAACAGTAAGAAGTACTGTTATTATCATCGGGATAATGGGCATCACACCGATGAGTGTTAGACTCTCAAGCAAGCAATCGAAGACCTCATCAAGCAAGGGCACTTCAAAGAGTATGTTGATGGTCTGAGTCCTGTTCAAGAAAAGGATTAAGAGGAACAAGAGAAGAAGTGTCGTGGTCATAAGGGTTTCTACTTTGTAGGGATCGTATTTAGAGGATCACACCTCGTGGGGAACTCTTGAGGTGCCCAAGCTCAGGAAGCTCATCATGACCCCTTGAGTGTGATGAGCACGGCGTCGCGACCTGCTAAGGTTCACAGGAAAGAGGAGATCACCTTCTCGAAGAAAGACGCAGTGCGATTGCATCATCCCTATAAGGATGCATTTGTCATCGTGCCAGAAATAGGTCGGTGCAAAGTCCACAGAATGTTGGTGGACAATTGAAGCGCCGTGAATATCCTATTTCAGCGAGCTTTCGAAAAAATGCAATTGGACGAGGCAGACTTTAAGCCTGCCTCCATCCCTCTCTATGGTTTTATTGGGGATTATTTGATTCTTAGGGGAACGATCTCACTCCAGATCACGTTTGTAAACCCCGCGTTATTATTTCGATGCACTAAGGTATGAAATTTACCTTTTCAAATAATTTTCTTTTCTTGAATGGAAGGGTAAAATGGTCAATTTACATGTATTTCGAGGTTAAATAACGTAAACAGTAACCAAAGGTATAATGGTCTTTTCATACAAATTCATATGAATAAGTATCCATAAAAATGCACTAAGGGTAAGTTAGTCATTTACCTAATGGGATTGCTTAATTGTTAAGTATTTTAAAGAAGTCAAATGGCATTAAATGAGTGCTTATCTTTATCTTGTGGTAGAAATGACCAAAACGTCCTTATATGGAAAATTTATGCCAAATGACCATTATGTCTAACTTTTATTGATCAATCACATTAGAGTAACAATTGAATGAATATTTACAAGGTTTTAAGAAAGAGTAGTCGGCCTTGTACCCCCCAAATATATCATCTTCTTCTTCATCTCTCAAATCCACCATAAAAGCCACTAATCTAAGCTTTTATTCTCAAATTTTCTTAGGATTTCAAGTTGATTTTCAAAGGAGATCACCATCCACCCTTAAAGAACTTCAATTTCAGGGTTAAAGGTAGAAAGGTGAAACTTTGGAGCCAAGGAGGAGTACCTTTGTGCTTTGAATACTAAGGTAAGGAAAAAAAATCTCCCTTATGACTACAATTGATAACACCTAGGGTTTATGAAACTTACATTTATTTATGTTAATATGAGTGTGATGCTATGTTTTGGTTATGGATTGTTTAAATGGGTGTGTTGATTGGTGTATGTGTGCATATGGAGGATGATTATGCCAATTAAGAGATTTGTAGTTGGACGATGTTTTGGCACTTTTTGGTTCTGTAAAAAGGGAGGTTTTTATGGCCTTTTATACTTAGAATGATATGGCAAATAATATGAATGTGCAAATGAAGGGGACATGGTTAAAATGAATAGAATTCGGATTTGGCTGTTTTAAGACTTATACTGTACATGCTTCACTGAATCAGTCATAACTGAAGTTATAGAAGTCCGATTGAGTTGATTCTTGAAGTGTT